TTTTCTCAAAAAATGCTTGAATTCAAGAAGTTTTAGATTTGCGTGATTTTTTTTTTGAGTGGCAAAATCCACTTGAACATGACGCTGCTTTTTTCATAGCTGCAACAATTGCAGAACATCGTGATAGAAAGTCTGGTGGAAGAAAAACTAATACCTGAATTGAATTTTGAGTGTGGATTTTTCAAGATACGTGGATGATTGCATAATGTGCCTGCCAAACCATAAAATTCAACACACACTGGATAAATTTAATGCCTTCCATGACACCATTAAGTTCACCATTGAGGAGGACAACTAAATAAACTTTTTAGATATAACGGTTATGTATGACAACAATGGGGAAATAAAAACAAACTGGTACACAAAGGATGTATGGTCTGGTAGATACTTGAATTACCAATCATATGCACCTCTACAATATAAAAAAGTGTGGTAACAGCTCTTACTGATAGAGCAATTAAATTGGCACATTATGATTATAGAGAAAAAAATCTTAAAAAAATAAAAAAGATACTAATAGTGAACAACTATCCCAAACCATTCTTCAAACCAATCATAAAACGAAGAATAAATAAAACCTGCAATTCCAATAAATGGAACAACATAAATAATAATAATAAGAAAAAAGAAGGTGAAATCAAGTATATACCATTACCGTATATTCCAGAAATTAACACAAAAATAAGAAACATTTTAAAACCGCATAATATCACTATAGCAGAAAAAACTAAAAACAACTTAGCAAAAAAAGAATGTTTCACAAAATTTAAGCTTAAAAGTGATAAGTTAAACACACCTAATGTAATATACAAGATTGACTGTTTGAACTGTGACAGCGCATACATAGGTCAAACAAGACAATATTTAAAGAAAAAAATATAATATATAAACATAGCTATATAAAAATATACGAACATAGCTTAAGAAAGGCTAACGAAAACAGCATTAGCACAACATGCGCAATAAATGTTACATAGTTTTGATTTTGATAACACAAAAATATTAATCAATGAAGACAATTATAATAAGAGAAGAATCAGAATGAAATTAATTTTAGATCAGACACACACAATATTAGCTCTATATATCATACACTAATTAAACAAACACCTATATACACGAATTAAATCAACTACATAAAATATAAACACCTGGTATATTGAATAAATGCAGACCAAGTTATATCCTCAGAATGCAAAGAAAAATGCCAAATATTATAAACAGTTTTTTTAATCTTTCACTCGATATTGGACGAAGTAAAGATTTTTCAGTGGCTTGCCAAATGTGAAGGGAGAAACAACCATACTAATCTAAGCAATAAATTCTAATCTTTTCCCGAACATGATTGTCCTGACTTATCACCTGTAATAACCCAAAAGATTCAAACAATTTTAATATATTTTTTAATATGGCTTTTATATAGGCAAATTAATCATTCCAGTGGGGTTTTGGAGGGTAAGTGATTTCCAATGCTGAGTTATATGTTCAATATATCAATGAGAAGTTTCCAGAACAAAGTAAAATATATTAAGAAAACATCTGAAATATTGAAAAATCAATATAAGTGTGATATACCGAACACCATTGAAGATATGCTGAAGTTACCAGGAGTTGGCCCAAAAATGGCACATATTTGCATGAAGATAGCTTGGGGCGAAGTTACAGGAATTGGTATGTGAATGCTGGTTCAATTAAAATTATGTGAATTAACATTAACTTTAGGTGTGGATACACATGTTCATCGCATTGCAAACATGATGGGATGGGTGAAAACCAAAACTCCAGAACAAACTGAAAAAGCTTTAGAAAGTTGGCTGTCATTTGACCCATGGAACGAAGTGAATCATTTGTTAGTAGGATTTGGTCAACAAATTTGCCTGCCAATTAATCCTCAATGTTCATCGTGCCTAAATAAGATTTGTCCTTCTAGCAAGGCAAAATAATTAGCTTTGCAAAAAACGTCGATTTAGCTTGTTCTATTAATTTCATAAAATATACTATACATACATTAATTTCATAAAATAAAATATACAATACTATTTAATCGGTGTCCTTATTCCTTTTGGTAAATCGACCATTTTTATTGCCCTTCTTACCGAACTTTTGCTTGGCTCCTTCCTTAAGCTTATTGGCCCTTAGGGATTGTTTTTTCTGTTTTCTTTGCTCCATTTTGTTCTTCTTCTGGAACACCTTGCTTTTTTGTACGTTTTTTGTAGCCTGTTTCTTCAGTTCCTTTTTCACTTGCTTCTCCGAATGGAACTGTTTGGTACTAGGTTTCGTCACTTTGGTTGCTTTAGGAGTTTTAGCTTTCAGCTCCATGCCGGGTATCTCCTCTGGATCCTCGGGCTTAACCTCTTCTTCTTGGTCCGACTCGTACTTAGGCCGATTCGCACCAATCCAATTGCTTTGCTTGGCTATTTCATTTGTTGAGAGCTCCACTACTTTTACAGTAACATCATCTTCTTCATATTCATTGCTTAGGTACTTTTCCAGCTCTGGAATGTCTCTGTGAGACACCACCAGTTTCTTGTACGATTCCTTGGCATCAGATTTCAAACGTTTCCGCTCTTCCTTGAGATCGTTTTCCAGTTTTTCTTGAGCATGTTTCTTCCTTTGTAGCTTTCGCTTGCGGAAGCCCGTAAGGAAGTCCCTTGTAAATAACAGAGTGAGGTTAGAATTGGAAAAATTTACAATGTGCTTCAAGTAATTTGTAAGATTGTTTTGATGTAAATATTTACCTTCTTTTGACTTCGTCAAAAACTAGGTTCACTTTCTTTGCTCGCTTTTTTGGCTTTTTATTACCACGTTTGACACTTGCCATTGCCATGCTTTCCTGGGTTTTGTTTATTATTGCCGCGGTACCTACAAGCAAAACGTTCCAATCATGACTGTCCTCTGGTTAGCGGGTGGTTAATCTGCGAAAATATCTGGAGTGGTAAGCGTGTAGTTGAGTTATCTTGTTGAATTTCTTTTTGTGTTCGATTTGAATAGAAGCTTCAAATTATTTTTTTTAATGAAATATGAATTTAACATGTTGCTTGATTTATGACATTAGCCCCCCTAAAAATAATTCTAACCAATCGCGAGCAGTTGCTCGAATAAAGTCGGACTCAACGACATCATGGCTGTCAGTATAAATTTGTCCATTGCAAGATGAACTTTCCCTCAGTAAAAATAGCTAATAAAAGGGTCCTTTTATCAATTTGTCTATTAAGAAGGGTGATGCTTAGTAGGAAACGATACATAATGTTGCACGAAATTAATTAGACTCTATTAAACGCAGTAAGTGGCTACATTCCCTTAGATTACAAGTGTTTTGCCCAAAGTTCTGGCCAGATTTATGTTATTACGTATGATTCGACCACATAGGTTTGTTTGAAAACTTTTATAGTCCCAGCACGTTTCCGAGAGCGTGCATTCAGTTTTATAGCGGATGATTTGCGAGCTGCTCGAAAAACTTACATTCTTGAACTTTTTCAATAAAACATCTTACATGTCTAAAGAATTAGATGTATTTTGTAGATTCTTTTATTAGTCGAAATTAGGCCACACATTCCACCAGTTTTTGCAACCATATGTGCACAGTGAAACCTTTTAATCGTTATCCTGACTTATAGATTTTTGGCAAATATTTCAAACTATCCAAGTAAATAGAGTGCTTTCAACAGCTACTTCTTCCATTATCTATTCATGTATGCAGTTCACCTAAATAACTCAATTTATCGTTGACATTTATATTTTTACTTCCTCAGTGATTAATTTATAGCAATGACTCAGACCAACTTTATAGTTTTTATTGTTCCCAAATAACCAGCATGCTTTTATTTTGCAACAATTTCTGCAAGCCATATGGCACTGATTTAGTGGGTATGGACGTAGTAATATCGATGATAGTGTGTAAAAGCAGATTTATTCAGAATTATTAGTTATCTTAAAAATAATTATCCATGAAAACGAATTGCCCACATGAAATGTTATTAATAAATAGGCTAGGAATGTGTGATGGTCCAAGTCAAGAAAGTTTTCATCAGACTCGACGGAACACTGTTGAGGAATTTTAGTGAAACAAAGCAGTATTCTTGATTGAAGGCCTTGTTTTACGGCTTGTTTCAAAAACGCACTTCTGACTGAGCAATCAGTTAACAAACCTATCGAGTATATGGTTGTAACTTTACCTGGTTAAGGGCAATTTTGTGAATATTTTTGCTCTAATTATTTTCTTTTTGTTCTCTAATCTTTAATGACTCATGAATTGTTCCTGGAACGGAGCATGGTGTATCCGCTTTTGATAAACCCCACTGTTTGACCATGTTTGATTTGATTCGATTGAATCTGTTCAACTATAACTAAGTATTCAATACAAGGTGTGGCTTGTATTGCAACAGGCGTTAAAGCTATAACGTTTTTCTTAAGTAGATTTTCTGTAAAATTTGTATTCATTCATATTAAAAATGAATTCACGATAATTTTTTCCACCGTGTGTCTTGATAACGTAAGCATTAACATTTTAACATGGGTATTTTTTTTAACAGACTGAGCTCTTAATAAAGTCTAACTTTTTCAGGTTTCAACTAGCAAGCCATTTTTGCTTCCACGAATTAACCAATCCGGAAAACAACAAAGATGACTTCGAGTAGGTGAGTTACTTGGAATCACTGCTATTAAGCATTTTAACCCAATCGTTGCCATAAGTACGCACATCTAACTGGTCGTTATACTGTTTTGTTTTGTATACCTATTAATTATTAAAAAAATGATATTTTCAGATTGGACCGATTGTTCGTCCTGCTAGAAACGGGAAGTTCCGCGGTAACAAGATCAGCAGCAGCAAAACAACTTGGCGAAGTGCAGAGATTACATCCGCATGAATTATCAACTTTACTATGTCGCACTGTCACATACCTTCGCTCTAGTAACTGGGAAACTCGTATTGCTGCCAGCGATGCCATCCGAGCAATTGTCAGCAATGTACCCCAATGGAATCCTAGGGGAACTGATGTGAAGAGTGGTAAGATACCGCAAGAACTCTGAGTTTTTTCAAATTTTACTGATAATTCCAGAAGAGTACGATGGTGCGTCAATGACATCCTGTGTTGGTAGACTGAGATTTGAGGAGTTTGACATGTCCAAAGTGCTTGCTAATAGTTCGCATTTAATGGCCTCGGAAGGGAAGGAGTTTGATCTCGAGGAAGATTCAGCTATGGGTAAATTAAACAATTTAGACCCGCCAATACCTTAGTAATTTTAAATCCACTACCAGGGCTGGAAGTAAAAGAGCGCTTGGCAAAGCAAAGACAATTACTAAACAGCAGATTAGGCTTGGATGTGGCCGCCAAAATTGGCTTTGATACCTGTTCCCTATTTACAACAGAAGATCTGATGACCAACGTGGATAAAACTGATTCAACTCCAATTTGCATGAAAGTAAGATCAACCTTATAAAAATATTGGCGAGTCATTGACACAATTAATGATTCCTTTAGATTCCGGTGAAAGATGTGATTTGCAACTCTGCAGAAGGTTTGAGCTGTCGCGAAATGAATAGAGCTAAGCGAAAGGCCAGACAAGCTGTGAATAAGCAGAAATCGCGCGACGTCGGCGAAGACAATAGTTTCAATGGAGATGAGGTCGATCGCAAAAAACTTAAGACTGAAAGTGACGAAAATATTATTCCTTGTGGTGAGTTAGATGGTATTTTCTAATATATTTGGCTCAACGGGAGTATTTTGCAGATTTCGACCTTAATGATTCAGTTGATTGGCCGTTGGAGTGGTTTTGTGATCAGCTTAGTCATGATTTATTTCATTCTAGTTGGGAAAGGCGACATGGTGCTGCCACCGCTCTCAGGGAAATTATTTCCATTCACGGGAGAGGAGCAGGAAAAGCTACATACATACCAGTTAAACAGGTAGTTTTCTCAAATAATTCAAAATATACAATTTATAAAGACGGATATTTTTATAACTTTTACAGATGGACTTTTATCACCAAGTTTGGCTTGAAGACATGTCAATAAGACTGCTCTGTGTTTTGGCCCTCGATAGGTTTGGCGATTTTGTGTCTGATGCAGTAGTAGCGCCAGTCCGCGAAACATGCGCTCAGGCCCTTTGTGCCGTTCTAAAGCTAATGAATCCGACGAATTGCGAAAAAGTATTAGATACGCTTATTCAGCTTTTGAGCCATCAGGACTGGGAAGCTCGGCATGGAGGTCTACTGGGTTTAAAATATCTTCTGGCTGTTAGGGCCGACCTAATTGATTCATTGTTGCCGAAGTCATTTCCCTATATCCTGCAAGGTAAGGTTTCCGCATTAAAAAAAGGTATTTCAAACAAAAGGTTTTTTTTTTAAGGTTTAGCAGATACTGTAGACGATGTGAGTGCGGTAGCAGCCTCCTCATTGATACCGGTTGCGCCCAAATTAACTCAGTTAGATCTGGGTTCCGTCCCCCAAGTCATTAATAAACTTTGGGACCTACTATCAGAACAAGATGAACTAGCAGCGGCTTGCAATAGTTTCATGGGTCTGTTAGCAGCCATTCTGAATCTACCTCAAGCTCAATCTCTCTTACCGATACAACCTCTTAGTAATGTGATGCCCCGTTTGTGGCCATTTTTGTCCCATAGCACTTCCTCAGTGCGAAAAGCCACCTTGGACACATTGAAAACGCTTACAGAGAAACCATCCGATGGATCTAATATTTTATGGGATGCTCAGTTGCTGCAGGATGCAATGCGCCATGTTTTCCAAAGACTTTTAGTGGAACCAATTGCTGAGGTAAGTACTAATTTTGCAAATTTAAAAAAAAATTGAAACATGTGTTTTGGTTGCAGGTCAGAAACCTAGTCGAAAAAGTATGGGAGAATTTAGTGAAAAATTCCGGCCTTGTTGAGTTGCTGCATGCTGCTTGCCCCTTTATAACAACGTGGTTGTTTTTGACTATGCAGCCCACTAAAGTGCCATTTGATCCGAATTTTTTTATTCATGCCAAAAGTCAAAAGAAACCAAACGGTTTCGACCATTCGATCGGGCATCCTAAGTATTTTATTGGAGGTAAGCCTATATAGAATTTTCTTTGTATATTTGATATCGGATATTTTAATTTTCAGGCAGTGAAACAACTCCTGTGTTGACTAGAGAGGCAAACGCCGTTCAAGTTCGATGCATGGCTGCTCGAATGTTAGGCCTTTTGTCTTGTTACATAGTTCGATCTGCCCCAGGGATAGATTATAGCCAGGGTCTGGAAAAACCTATAGACTGTTACGAAAAGGTTCTATTAGTTCATTTAAATACCAAGTCAGCTTTACAGAGGCTGGTAACAGGTAGGACAACCATTGAAATTGTGAAAAGCATTGTTTTAATTCAATTTATCTCTTAGGTTTAGTTATTTCTGAATGGGCAACGTTAAACGCCGAAATCGAGTGTTGTCCGCTAGAGTTAAAAAAGCGGCTGCACCAGTGCCAAGACGAAATGTTATATTTTGATGAAATTGCGCATAGTTTTACCAAATTAGCACAGGAAACTCGCGATTTTCTGGCCACTCTTAGACACTACAAAATTCCAATTGAAATCGACAATGAGCAACCTTTAACTTTGCCTCTGATAGAGCAACTGACCGGACCGTCCACTGATAGTATTCTAGTCAATATTAAGCTTAAGTCTAAAATTTTAAACAATCTGCAAGAACGAAGAAGATCGATTCAAAGTTCGGTCATATCGACCGCACTAGAACAAAGAACTCTTAATATTAGTACAAAAGGTAATTAATTATTTGACAATCTCCACATTGAAATAACGCAAAAGAAACATTTTAGCCGCTCTCTCCGGAGCCATTGTGATGTTTCAAGCGCTACCAGACAAATTAAATCCGGTAGTAAAGCCACTTATGGAGTCAGTCAAATACGAACCGGAAGAAGTTCTTCAGCAGATCGGTGCGAAACGATTGGCAATTTTGTTGGACTATTGCCGATTGAGAAATCCATGTCCGAATGAGAAAATCCTAACGAATCTTTGCACATTTCTACGATGCGATCCCGAGTATACACCACAAATTTTTCCAGATCAAGAAGTAAGCTGTAGTGGTAGCGAATTATGGAGGCACGAAAATTATAACGGCGTACTGACTCTAATCAACCAGCAGAAAATGGCTGAAAAAGTTGCCTTTAAACGGTCCAACAGCTCAGGAAGGGGTCCAGGTGAGGGCATAGTGATTAGTTAGTTCCTTGTAAAATGTAAGAGTAGTTCTGTTCAGTTTCTTAGCTTAGGAACTCCTACTTTGATGAACAAAACTTACATATGAAGGGGTTAGAAGCAAAACCGCCTAAAAGTCATTTTAAAACAAACTCACATTTTTATCAACATTTTTAAACAAAAAAGCACTTGGATTGTTTTGATTTTGCTTGTAGGTCATAAGTTGATAAACTGTGCAACTTAGAAAAAAGTTGTTGTCCCTCATCCGCGGTAAATTCCCCGCATTAGTAGCTGCATGTGTGTTCATACTGAACGATTTTCCTTCTTTTATTTTTCTCTGCTTTCATATTCTTGACCAGAAAGTCTATTATTCTTGACCAGGAAGTCTATTATTCTTTATTACATTTATTTTCCCTTCCATATTGATTGTTCTTTTTCGAGTTCGTTTAGGCGCTAGTAAAAAGGAAAATAAACCTTACATCACCTTACATTTTGATCCCTAAACTCTTCTCACGGTAAATACTACTGCTAGTAGCTTCATGATGTGATATGGAACTATCACTCCCATGAGTCTCATCTTCACTTGGTATGAAATCAGATTCCTCATCCGTAGCATCTGGATCTGTTTCTGAGTCTAAATAAGTATGCCATTATTTCAAAGTTCCAAAATTTTTAGACCTGCCTGTTTGTTTACCTGATCCAGAAGACATTGATTGAAATAAATAATATAATTAATCACTTAATCTGAGTGATTAAATTTTGTAATATTCTAACGAAAATACATTCATGAGCACAAGACAACTCAGACATTTTTTGTTTGCCAAAAGAGACCGTCAGGCTATGATTTTTACCTAGGCGATATTACTATCAAATAGAATCAAATATGGAGAACACGAATTAACACTTGGGGCCGTTTTACAAAATATTGCACTTAAGCAGTTTTGCTTCTAATTGCTTCATATAACGTATGTTTAATGTGTTTTATTATTTTCCCCATGTATAAATATTTTTTTTATTTTACTTAGGTAGGCCTCCAATGAATGAAACAAGTGTGGAAGAAGTGCCTAAAGATGAGGAGCCTCAAAAGCTGAATCGAATTCAAAGGCGAGGCGCCACATTTGCGTTGACCGCAATAACTCGATATTTTGGAGCTGAACTACCGGAAAAAATGCCCAAATTGTGGGACCTGATCGTTGGTCAGTTAGTCAATACAGTGAATCCAGGCGACTTCTTAGCGATATGTGGGCAAGACCAGGTCGCCCAGCAATTGGTGTGGGATTTACAGGTGCTGGAAGTGACCTCTTCTAGTGTGCACCAGAACATTCTTCCGCAACTTATGGAAAATACCTTGGAGAGATTGTGCTTACTTCTATCGCATCCTTACAGAGCCGTGAGGCACTTGAGTGCCAGATGTTTGGCTGTATTTGCCCAAATTGACTCGGTTAAAGTTATGGAATTTGTAGTTAGTAAGGTAAGGTTTTTTTCATTTTCTTGATCCGCGGACTTTAATTTTATTTATATTTTAGATCTTGCCTAAATTAGGAGCAACACACTGTGATACCGATAGACAAGGAGCTGTAGAAGCTCTAGCGTGCATTGTCGACAGTCTGAAATTTGACGTAATTCCATATGTAGTATTATTGGTAGTGCCTCTGTTGGGTAGAATGTCTGATCAAAATATGTCTGTAAGACTTATGGGTACTCTCAGTTTCGCCACTTTGGTGCAACTTATGCCATTGGATGGAAGCGTTCCAGAACCCCCAGCACTGAAAGATAGCGTTCTAGATGCTGAAAGAAATAAGGAGAGGGAATTTTTGCAGCAGTTGTTATCACCTTCATCTATACCCGATTACAAAGTCCCAATTCCGATAGGTATGTTTTGTTAGATTGCACCAAAATCTTTGGGAGACTTGGTTGGTTTTTCCTATGTAAATGTTGTCTTCAATGTAATTTTTTTTGCTGCAGATGCAAAATTGCGAACTTATCAGCAGGCGGGTGTTAATTGGCTGGCGTTTCTCAACAAATACAAACTTCATGGAATCTTGTGCGACGACATGGGCTTGGGAAAAACTCTTCAAAGCATCTGCATTTTGGCGGGTGACCATTATGATCGCGACCAGATGTACAAGAAGAACAAATGCCCGGATTGTGCCCCCTTGCCCTCGTTAGTTGTCTGTCCTCCAACTTTAACAGGTACGCCCTTATTGCACCTTTTTTATTGATGTGAATGCCACAATCCACATGTTTTTAGGGCATTGGGTTTATGAAGTCGGAAAATTCGTCCAACCTAAATATCTGCGAGCTCTTCAGTACAATGGCAATCCGGTTGAACGCGAAAAATTGCGAAATAAATTCCGAAAATACCAGTTAATCGTGGCGTCTTATGACATTGTTCGGAAGGATAATAATTTCTTTTCGCACATCAAGTGGAATTATGTAATATTGGATGAAGGGCACGTGATCAAAAACGGAAAGACTCGGACTAGCCTGGCCATCAAAAGTTTAATAGCGAATCATCGGTTGATTCTGAGTGGTACCCCGATACAAAACAACGTGCTGGAACTTTGGAGCTTATTCGATTTTTTGATGCCAGGATTTTTGGGAAGTGAGAAGCAATTTACCGCTCGGTATTCGAAGCCGATATTGACAAGCAGGGATCCCAAATGCTCTCCTAAGGATCAGGAGGCTGGAGTCCTGGCAATGGAATCTCTACACAGGTAACACTTCACTTGAAAAACAAGTGTTTTTTTACTATTTAGTTTTTATTTTAGGCAAGTGCTACCGTTTTTACTGCGCAGAATGAAAGAAGATGTTTTGGATGATCTACCCCCGAAGATAACTCAGGATTATTACTGCGAGCTGAGTCCTTTGCAAGAACAGCTCTATGAGGACTTTTCCAAATCTCAAGCGCATCAAACCTTACAAGTTCGTACCCTACTTAAATTCCCGAGAAGTTTATTAAAATGCTCGTGTAATTTCTTTCAGGAATCAATCACATCCGGCGCAACAGCATGTTCAATCCAAGGAAACACCCATATATTCCAAGCGCTCAGATATTTGCAAAACGTTTGCAATCATCCTAAGCTAGTGCTGAATTCTGCCCATCCCCATTATCAGCAAATAATATCGCAGATGCAACAGAGCAATTCGCAGTTGGATGACATAAGCCATTCGGCAAAATTACCCGCTCTTAAACAATTATTAAACGATTGTGGCATCGGTCTGAACGACGGTGGTTTGTTTAAAGAATCGGCCGAAATTGCAGTCAATCAGCACAGAGCCCTAGTTTTCTGTCAGTTGAGAGCTATGTTGGATATAATTGAGCATGATTTGTTCCAGAAGAATATGCCCAACGTTACATATCTAAGACTCGATGGGTCCGTAGCGCCTGTTAATAGGCACTCCGTTGTCACTCGGTAAGTTATTAAACTATTGGGTCTTTGAAAAATAAACGAAGTTTTTTTAGATTTAACAATGATCCTTCTATTGACGTTCTTCTGTTAACAACGCAAGTCGGTGGTTTGGGTTTGAACCTAACTGGCGCAGATACAGTGATATTTGTTGAACATGACTGGAATCCGATGAAGGATTTACAAGCGATGGATCGAGCCCATCGAATCGGTCAAAGGAAAGTTGTTAACGTGTACCGGCTTATAACTCGCTCAACATTGGAAGAAAAAATAATGGGGTAAGTTCCAATCATTCACATCCACGTGAAGCATTCACTTAGTGCGCTCTTTCGGTTCCAGATTGCAGAAATTTAAAGTTCAAACAGCGAATACGATCATTAGTGGGGAAAATAGTAAAATGGAAACCATGGGCACTGAACAGCTATTGGATCTATTTTCGAATAAACCGAATAGCGGTAAAGACAGTAACGGATCAGCTTCGACGTCTAACAATGGGATGAAGGCCATTCTAGACTCGTTACCTGAATTATGGGAGCATAAACAGTATGAGGATGAGTACGATCTTTCACATTTTATGTCCAAATTGAACTAGAGAATGGTAAGTTTCAATGCAGTTTTGAAATAATAAAGTGCGGAAAAATTGGGATTGGTTCTAAATCAGGCTCGTTTTGATGGTATATCTAAATCCTTATTTAATCATATTTGTCTTGTAGTTGTCCTTATGCAATGGTTTTTCTCCCTCGGTTTATTGTCTCTATTTCCAAGTAAAAAACGAATACAAATTACAATAAAAACATTTTGCTTCTTCGAACAACCTGCCTGTCTCCGTTACTACCGCTTTCTTCACCAAAAAGGAGAAAAAAAAGGTTTATCGGTAGAACCACGGAACGGCACTTAATTTTCATGTAAGTGCCAAAGTAAACATTGTTATACTTTGCGTGTTCATGTTATACGTGTTTCAATTCCAAATCAAAATTGTTTCAGTCATTTATTGTATCTATTTATTAATTAAAATACGTTTCGGTGTATTTTTTCACCATCATCAGTTTTTATGTGTAGCGTTGTTGCTGCTTTAAGCCTTTAAGCCTTGGAGTATTAATTTTGTCCATTTTGGACACAAAGCGAATAAAATGAAAATTAATTTTTTAAATTTTTTTAAATTTATTTGAATGAATTTTGAAAGTAAACATTGTCATATGATTTTCAAGTATATCTGGTTGAAAAATCCCCAATACCAAAAGTTGATTAAAAATCAGATAAAAGAGTTAAATGGAAAATTGAGGCATTCACTCGCTTTTAAGGTATTATGAATGTATTTCCTTCCTTTCGCATTAAAATGCTTTGTTTCGTAAAAGTATTGTTTCAACATCCATCTAAAAGTATCTAGTTGAAAAACTACAAAATGCTTTGTTGCAGTTATTGCGCTTCGTTGCACCACCGAAATTTATTCGGCACGTGGAGCTCTCAGAAGTGGGTCATCCCCGTAATGACCCAGTTCTGAGAACTAGTTTACTAGCACAACGGGTTCCCTTTTGCTCTAGTTTTCCATATATCCGGGAACGTAGAAAGGGCGAAAGTGCAACGAAAAAGATTTTGAATCCTGGAAAATAAGTTTCCACTTTAACGAGCGATTTGTTTTCCAATAATCCTCCATTGACCATAAAGTTTCCCGGTTTTAGCACATTATTAATGTCTCAAAAGCTTTCATATTTTTACCAGTTTGTCTAAGTTTGAATGTCTTCTAACGTGTAATACATTGTTGAATATCCAGATGAAAAAAACCCGAAGGAATCTATTATTTAAATTATTTGGTATTTTTATTTATACTAATATCGAAGTACCGAATTATTTTTTGTATGATAGTGAAAAGTATATAAAATAGCTGCTCTAAAATTGTCACTGATGTGAAAACAATAGTTATTTGAATTTTAGTGCCGAATTCTGAATTAACCAGCTATTAGTGGTTGGCAAAATATGACTTAATACATCTGGACTTTGTGTTATTTTTCATTGTTCGCTGTAAAAAACTGTGATGTTTTGTTTTTCATGAGTCTACTGCTAAAATTCGATCAAATTAATTCTTTCTTCTACATCTTGGTCTACTGTATTCTTCGGTTAAAAAATATTTTTCGCAAATTCACAATACTAAATTGTAAGATTTTTTCGTCTGGTGTCCTCAAGTCTTGATCTCGCGAATCAAGTGATAGCCCAGCTGCTCCAAAAATCGTTTTAATGCAGGATGGGTTTAAAATGTGGGTTAAAGTGTCAAGGTGAACTAGAGCCGTACGTGTGACCCATTTTGCGGTCCAAGCTGACTGCAATCCGTGTTTCCCGGGATTCTATGCGACTTATAGATTTTCTGGAGTAAGATAAATTTTGACACGTGGCGAATATTTCAATTCGAATAAATTGCGGATTCAATCCCAGTAAACTATTTGAATTAATGTTTGTTTCAGAGAGAATAAATAAACAAAAAGCAATAACAAGTGACTTTGTTGAACCAAAGATGTCGTTTGTATTTATTATCTATAAGTTAGTTATCCCACTATCTATAAATTAGGATAAACACTCAAAAACAGTTGAGTGACTTGACTTTAATAACTTTTCGCATTAATACAGGGTCGATAAATTCATTTATGCAGTAATACTTATTTGAAAGGGAAACTAAGTTAATATATGCTATCCGGTTCTAATATAAATATTTCCTACACAAATTCCAGTAATTCCACCTTTGAAATAGATTCTTATTCGTATTCTGATATTTACAAACTAAATATATCATCCAATTTACTAAACTGTTTTTGAGTTAATCTAAGAATAAACCTGTTAAATCATTTTGCGCATACAGTTTCTGCTCTGCAAGGCAGTGTACTTTTAGCAATAAATACATCTTGTGCTTCAAGACCAAGACAAGAATGAATGTTTGTTCATGCTTTTATTTATTTTTTTTAATGGTTGCTCAGCTTTATCAAAATCCATTCATTCCTTGCCTAAAAGGGCAGATTACTGTTCATGTTAATTTATTTTCACATCATTTCATTTAGATTTAAGCACTTAGCACTTTGTTGGAGACAAGCACCCCATAGAAGTATTTTGTTAATTGGAACAATGTCAAGCTAATATTAATAATTCATATTATTAAATGTGGTGTTTCTTAAAAAACCTTCTGGAATAGAATCCAATTGATGTTCTTCAGTAATAAAGATTTGTATTTAGAAGGGTTTTGTTCTTCCCAAGCGAGTCCTTATGCACCTTTTCTAGTGCAAGTCACGTAATTGATATTTTCAACTAAAAAGTTAAACTCCAACACTTGCGGAACACACAAGAATATATTTTTATTCGTGTGATATTGGGCAGCTCCCAAACGCAGTAAGTTTTTAAGGATATTAAAAACATCAGTCGATATTTTTTTGATTTTATTGTCATTCAAAATACTATACATTTCTATAGTATGCGGTTAATTGTTTGATATGAATTCTTATATCTAAGCACAAGTAACAACTTATCCGTTCAGTAACTACAAAGTCTAGAAAGGTTCGTCAACAAAGTTCTTGAAAAGCAACAACGTAATATTGTCAGAATTGCAGTGTAAGTAGCAGAGAAGTGTCCACTGCAATTTTCCTTGTATCGGTTTATTACAATACAAAATTTACTTTGCTCAAAAATACCAAAATCCATTTGTAAAATGATAAACTTCGATATATAAATATAGTATATCATAGATAAAATAGTGTACATTCTTAAGAGGTAGAGAAATTAAATCATTTGCGTTATGCATGCAATACGGTTTTAGGATTAATTCGCAAAGCCAATGCGTCCTTTGCCTTCAGATTTTTTATGTAAAATCACAGCACTTTGATTAATTATATGTAACAATTTCAACAAATCTACGTACAAATTGGAAGCATCTAATTTTTATATACACTTCAAGAACTACAGCACTGTTGATTAGTTTCAACCTCTAAATTTAATAGGATTTTTACCTCACATGTTAATGAATTGCGGAAACATTTAGCTGCAGGTAAATTCTTTAGTGGATGAGCTAGAGGTAAAATGCAATCTTAAATTAATTGCCACTATGCATTTTTATAGTAATATCAACTATGTATAATCACATTACTGACAAGCAGATATATAACATTTGCATGAGTATATACCATTTTAATACTAGTAGGTATATAGAACTTGATTTTATATTTAAGCAGTTACTCTATTCTCATTTTCTAACGTTTAATGCCCGTTAGAAGCAGTGTCGGATTGCGGACCATTTACCAAGAGTGTTAATCGAATCTAACAGTGTGCGAAGAGCTGGAACTATACTATGCTTTTCTTACGGGCATTTTCAGTTGTATTTTCTACTGCTTGCTCTTTACGCGCAATATAACATCTATTTATGTAACTTCTTATCGCATAAGCCTTCGCTAATTGCTCTTAGATCTTACTTTCTGCACGCTTGGGTTCACGCCCAAAAAGGGCAATGTTTTCCTCGAGACGCCTCGTATTTATTAATTAATATGTTTATTTAAATTATTGTTAGAGATAATTTACGTCGAACTACCATAAGAAAATATATATCGATGAACAGTATTTACAAGACAAGTTTAAGAAAAACTATGGCATTGACGGAGAAGAGTCCAATTTTGTCAATAGAGGGTTTTAGCCTCAAGTACTATAAAAATTGAAAATTCATTATACCCTGTATTGTTATAAAAATAATTGTGTCCAACCTCCAATTTGAATGTAAAACTTTCTTATTAATGCCCCATCAAGAATAAGTAAAAATAAATAAATCCTGCTAGCAATAGAACCAAAAGGGCCGCTTCTGGATCTCAAGACACTAAATAGGAGCTGACCTTTTTGGTAACATGAGCTCCTTTATCGTGACACACTATATGCACGATTTTCAAATTGTTCGTCGTGAACAAGTCGTTGTAAATAGACTTGACATCGATAGACGGCAGACTATCATCAAATATCTTCTCCATTTGCAAAAGGCTTCTGCGAATAGTCGGAATTATACTTCTAGACCGTTCAATTTGATGATCAAGATTCCACGTTTGGAATATGATCCGTTCTTCACGACTGGTGTATGGATTAATGGAATGTTGGGGCACATACAGACAACCCTCCTTATCCCAACGACCATCGCAATAAAACATCCCTATAGAGTTGCAGAGTGGTTTTAGGTTCGAGTTTCCAGCAGTTGCGTGCCTGTCGAACAAATACCCATGATACTTATTTAATTTTAACTTAGTTTGTAGATCTGATAAAAGTGCGTTTAGTTTGTCTGCAGGTAGATGGGTTGTATGGAGCAGATCGTCTCTGGTTTTGTAGTAATAAGTTCGGATGCGATCTTGCGCCCTGCGGAACATATATTCTTCTTTTGACTTTGCTCTGGTGTCAAGGCCTGTGTGAAATAAAATACGTCTTCCGATATGGTATGATTAATGCGTTGAAATGTGGTTCTACGATTGATGATTAAGCTCTTCACAAAGTGAATGGTGCATTTAGTAGTGTGAAGGTTTAGACTGATCAAATGCTTGATTGCAAACCCAGCGATCAAGAGAACATGCAATATTGAGAAGTTAGAACTACAGCGAAATTTAAAAGTTAGGGGTGAATCACATTCAAATATTGAGTCTTACCTTCAAACCACTCGGGATGCTCTAACCGACTACTCATCTGGACTTTGTCCGGATCCAGGCCCTTCAAAACTTCTGCGAGTTTAAATACTTTCGATTTCATTTTTTCGGTGAAGAATTCCTGAACTTTCTCTCCGGCTTTCAGGTATTCTTCATTCACTTCCCTGATGGTTTTATACAGTAACTCGGCGTCCGTTTCTGCTCTTTCCCCGGGTTTCACCTGCAAAACACGTCAGCATATTACGACTACTCTAGCTAGGAGCATATGGAGAAAGTACCCAAATTAACAGAGTTTGCGGAGGCAGAGTTTGAAAATAATCATCACTGTCAATGGTAGTGCCATCAGGGGTTTGAAACTTAATATCTGTTGCCGACGGTAATTTAAATTTCTCAATTGTCTTTTTCTTGAGATCATCAAAGCTTTTAACTGCAATGCCCACTCTCGTTTTTCGTTCAGCATCAGTTACTTTATAGCCTTTTGTTGTCATTGTCATCTACAACAATTGCGCTACAAATAGTTATTAAGCAGTTCCTGTTTATCATATTCTGGAATCAATTTGTACAAAGCAATCGAGGGACTTTAATCTATTACCTAAACGCGTAAAAAAGAGCATCTACACATATAAAAGAGACCTGAAACATGCACTTACACAATAAACATCCAATTAAAATTTCAAACACATTCCGATAGCAGAGTGAAATATTTTGAGACTGACTCACATTGAGCAGAAGACTGCTGTGGTTCAACTGAAACTTGCCAGTATTGGACCGCCGTATTTAAAGGCTGCGGAGGCTCAATCAGGCCAGCGAATGGGGCCAATGCCAATGCCAAACTGAGTTTTCCTTTCTCCCAGGTCTGGAACATCGGGAAATGCAAGAGAACAGCGCGCGCAAATCGTAGGTACATTACAATAAAGGGATGAGGTAAAAAATCTATAGGCTCCCCAGCACCGTTCGTTCGGGTATTGTATGGTTTCTGTTTTACTACCGAATCAATAATTGCTCAGGCTTATTTATAATAAAATGATAGCATTTAATTCATTGTTAAGTAACAGGGTTACTCAAAGTAGCAGAGACATTTAGGGGCGCCGTATTTTCAGTACGCAATATTCATTGTTGTCTGCCCATAAATTTGTATACAGGCTGTCCCGTAAGTACATGATCAAAAGGGCACTGACACATTTTTTGGCTCTAATAAAGACCATAAGAATTTTATCCATAAAAAATGTCTACTCTGTTATTGAAGATCGAACTTTGACCATCACTATCCGAGGAGCCAAACATTTTTTTTTAGTAAAAGTTGTGTCAGATCGTCATTTTTGATACAAAAAATAGCGCAGTACTCTTTTAATCATGTGCTTACAGGACACTGCGGAATCCTAAAAACACGTTTTTTTTATTCTTTTGTAATTTTCTAGTTTATCACCGCGTTCAAAGTTATGAGTTTATCAGTATGATCACCTTCCTTATAGCTAATCTGTTTACAGCAACTTTTCTTAGTAGTGTTTCTTATGGAAATGTGGTTTTCATAATATACTTTATAACCGATCGCTGGGCATATTGTTAACCCTACGATCGCGAGAGCTTGATAAACAAGAAAATTGACATTTTTTTCATATATTGAGATTCATACATAAGAAAAAAACCATAACAAAGTGTTTGTGATGTTTATGCATTCGTATGCTGATCAGCAGAATGGCAAATAAATATTTTTAAAGTTGAAAGAACAATAACAAAGCGACGCTACTGAATGGGTTCTAGTATACTGTAGAAAAATTAGGTTTTATTAGAATCTAATAATATAACAAATCTCAGAGGAAACTCACCTTGTAAAGAGAAAAACTCGTTGGTGAATTAGTAATAAAATATTTGTTTATATTCCATTGTTTGCTTAACAAAACATAAACAATAGTTCTAACCTAATTAATCAGATAAAGAATAAACATAGAGCTAACTTCATGGTTGTTCTAAACCTAAAGGTGAACCGATTTCCAATAGATGACGTAAATGGGCATCATTATGCCTCAATATTTTAAGTTAAAGCCAATCAATGGATTATGTCCATTTCAGTAGACGTTAAAACGAAAAAAAAAATTAAAAAACCAAATTTTTCTACTACGTTTATTTATTCAGTCCTTAATAATTTATATGGGTATACATATCTATAAAATTGAATATAAAACTTGTAAATATAATTCAGCTGACAAACTTTAGCGTTCGAAGAGAACAGACTATTGTAGAAGGAACATTGTTTTTCATTATTGCTAAACGGGTTTGCCAAACAAAAGTCAAACCATGTATAAAATTTCTGCCCATTCCTAAAACCTTTCACCTAAAACCCAATACTTTCCCTTCTTGAGTCAATTTTCACTATCAGTCTCCAAGGGTGGCAGTAGCTGATTGATCCACTTGAACAACCCTTGAAGCTCCCCAGTCTTCAACTCATGCAACGTATACACCAGTGGAATAAATTCCCCTTTAACATTCAGTTTGCTCAGTTCTTCAAACGTCTTTTTACCCCATGATATCGGCACCATCGTATCTCTTTCGCCATGTGCCATGTATAAAGGCGTTGTTTCCGATTTAAGCCCCGAATAAACAGCCGAGTTTTTATTTAGGAACGATGAAAGAGTGAACACTCCGGCCAGCCCAGGTGTAAACCGAAAAGCTGAATGAAGAGCAAGAGCACCTCCCATTGAAAAACCACCTAAAATAATATGTATAACTGAAATTTTTCGTGGAATTGCCGGAAATAATTTTCCTTCGAACCAACAGATGATAGATTATATTAATAAATAAATAATAATTTGCAAACTAAATTGAATTTTCAACCAAGCAAACTGAATTGATATTGAAAATATTTAAAAAAAAGTTAACTCGTTCTTATCATCATAAAATGTAAGTTTAAGTAACACTAGCCTTTTAAAATAATGCCATTTAAATCCTTTATAGTAATCCATATCCAGAGCTGAATTGAATTAAGGGAATCAACCAATAATTACCTATAATTATGCGGTTTAAAGGAACCCCACTATTGACAATATTATTTACTAGTAATTTGACTTCTTCCCCAATTTCTGCTAAGCTTTCGTCATGCTCAGGCACATCTGGTGTAATACTGAGTCTATCAAACCACACGTTACTCGCCTAAAAAATAAGAAATATCACATTTTTTTCTGAATTCGTTTCCTAATACTGGCCTATGAGCAGTTTAAAAGGAAATTTTCTTACCTCTCCTTTAAGTGGTGTATACGGTCTCAGAGGAGCAGTGGGAAAATAAAAATGAATATGAGGAGACACAAAGTCTCCCATTAAAAACTTAATCCAATTGAAAAACCCTTGGCCCGTGTCCCCTGAAACATTTAAATTGGCAATTTGTTTAAAAAATTATTTCACGAATATAACCTTAAATTATGTAAATATTTATTCAAAACCTACCTGAGCCATGCAGAAAAATAACTGAGGCTGAACAGATTTTGTTGGCTTGTGCCACTTTTATCATGGGCGCCAAAGACATTCTCCAAGTCAATTATCAACTAATTATAATTAAATTAAAAAACATAAAACTAGAAACACCACAACTTTCCCTCTTCTTTCAATCTATCATGATTCATGATTTACAACATGTGAACTTCGACCTGAAGTAGGCAAAACAACGAGTAGTAACGTGCAATATTAATGTACTCGATAGAAAAATTTAATTAGATATAAAAAAGTATCACAAAAATAGGGTTGCAAATGTATAAATATCAGCAACAGATAATATTTTGCTATAATGCTTGAATCACACCGCGTAATACTTGTTTTGTCCATTTTCCTCTAATATTTTGTAATTAATTGGAAATTATATTTAGCATTTTTTGTGCTATGTTCATTAATATTTACTGTTTAAAATTATTTGTAGTTGTACTTTAAAGATTTGGAAGAATATTAAGCTAAGCAACGACACCTATCGAACTTACTAATTTACTGCTTACATGCCCTAACACATGACAGCAAACGTCAGAAAGCTTACAAGAAAAAAATCGCGTTTTTTGTTCAAATCCACACTACTCGTCTGGAAAACAGCGTCATACAGTGAAAGAAAACCTCCATGTTTCGAAAATCGCAATATTTTTTCCAAAAATTGGAAAAAATCTGGCTTTTTCAAATTTTTTATGGAGCAAATCGCGCACGAACTCTCTTACCCATCTTTAAACAACAAACTCACAGAACATACTTAATGATAACATAATAATAATAATAATAACTTAACATACTTAAACATACATAGATATTTTGTGAACAAACTGACGTATTTTTGAAAGATTACTAACTTGCCAACAATGGCGAATTGGAGGTATGTCTGAATCCATTCATCTACTAAACTGCAGAATTCCTTGAAATTAAACATACAGTTAATTAAATAAATATATTCAAAAAATCAGCTAAAAAATTCTTGCAGTATATGACGTTATTTTGACCAAAAGCACGCAAAATAGTCCCTTAAGAATTTTCTCTTGTAAAACAATTAACTTTTTCTTTGCAAATATTTAATGTTGAAAAAACATAAACTGTTTTCTAGAAGTTAAACACCTATCAACTTCTCATAAAATTCTACTGATTTCGTTTCTGTTTTATTAACTAGAGATCTGAAACCACATAAAATAAAACTCAGACCACAACACTACCCTCATATGACTGGATGAATATTTTCGAATAAGTGAATTCAAAAGAGAAACAAAATCCATACTTAATAACGTGGTATATTTATTAATTTTAATCCCAATATTTAATAAGTCCATCCCATCCGGCTGTTACCAACTTGCTCGGCTCATGAGGATGCCACAAGCAGCTGATGCACACATTGTCGTGGGCTTTCCACTTCTTGTACAGTTTTGTGGTTTTCCAGTCCCAGATAAAGCATTTTCCATCTGCATCCCCAGAAACAAGATACGAAAGATCTGGCGAGAAGTCCAATTGGCAGGCATACCCCGCTACCATATGTCCTAAAAGAAAAAAGCTCTTCAACACTGCTAATACATGTATGTACCTCTAAAGGGTCCTGCAGATAAAAAATTAAGAAACTCACCAGTGAAAGTTTTCTTTCGGTTCAACTTAAAGCGATTCAGTGCCGAGAAAATTACGATTTTGTTGTCCATACTTTGGCAGGCCAACCATTTGCCTACACAAGAAGAAAAATTAATTAAACCTTTCGGGATACTTCTGAGAGTAATTTAGTTTACCATTTGGACTGGGTGTTACTGCCGGCATACTGTGCATGGTGGGATCTGCAATATACTTCATGTCCACTGGTATGTCCCACTCCCAAACCCTCAAGGATTTGTCATCCGAAGTGGTAACAAAACGACGATGTTCATCCACAAATGTTATTGTATTGACTGCTCCTAAATGCCTAGAGTAACCCAGTTAATCAGCTCTTTCACGCCGTGACCTTTACTTACCTATCGTATTCTTGTACGATATCCCCAGACCTGGTGTCCCAGCAAATAATTTTCTTATCAGAAGTTCCTGCTACAAACAAGTGCTGTTTATTGTAATCAGGATTAAACTTCACACAGTACGGAATTTTTCTGCTGGTAAACCTGTGGACCACTTGTCCTGTTTCCGTGTCCCATAATTTAATATATCTGCTCAAAAAAATACCCATTCAGATGCAGTTATTCTACCAACTAACGAGCAGTCTTACCGATCATAACCAGCGGACAAAAACTGGTTTCCGTTGTTGTTAAAATTGATATCTCGAACAGCCTGTCTGTGTCCATAGTAGGTCCTCACGCAACGTCTCTCCTTGTAGACTTCCCATATTTTAATTTTACAGTCCATGCTACATGATAGAAGTAAATGGGCAGTTTTTGGAAACCAACGTATTGCCGAGACTCCCTTGGTATGTCCAGTCCATGTATGAATATGGGACTTTGGCAGGAAACATTTATCCGGAGGTGCATCTGCAATAATGCATTAAAACACCACCAAACTTTTTATGTTGATCATTTCATTCTTACCAGACTTCAGATTGATGCCAACATCATGTGGGGCATGCAAATAGGATCGCCCTTGATAGTCAACAGCATCCTTAATATGTAAGACAGACTTCTCTTCAATGTGTCTTTCTTCTGGCTCCCTTCCTCTTCTAGTCCTTTTTGAGACAAGCTCTTGCAGTTCGGCTTGCTCCTCCTCCGTTGGTCGTATGACGCGCTGTTCGCCCTCAAAGCCGCCCCATGGCCCCAAGAAGCCCTCAATATCATCAGGATTGTCATTCTTTTGCCTTTTCCTTTTATCTAGAGGTCTCAACTGAGTTTTTTCAAATACTGTTTTTATGTTCGAATCTTTAGCTTCCTCAGTACTTCCGATGACTTTTGTCAAGCCCTGCTGATCAATGCTCACAGATGGATCCAAAGCATAGCCAAAACTTGCAAAAGTCCTTCTCTGGTTCTCGAATTGGAACTCACTCACATGGGCAGGTTCTACATGACCTAAAGTCAGAAGTTTATAAATGGAAATACGCAATGAATTTTCGAGTGGAAAATCCTACCTGATAGTATGTTTTTCTCTACTTCTTTTTGGGTCTTAAATGGATTTGTAGGTCCAACCACTGGTGCAAACAACTCCTCAAACTTGGGATTGTACATTAGCTCCTTTGCGTCTGGGTGAATATGCAATGTATCTGTGTCCACTGCAGGCGGTAGTACAGTGGGGGCTGCACATATCTGAAGATCCTTCTTCAAGGAGAATTTGATTGATTCTGGAGAAATTGGTCTTGGAGGCTCCAGCGTTGCTTCCGAACCCTCTTTCGATGGATCATCTTCGTCACTACTACTGCTACTACCACTGTAGGCTTGAATGGACAGCATTGCGAAGGAAACTAATATAAAATAAATTGATTTGAATCAGTATGAATTAAACTTTGTGTTTGTTGTGCACTGCTTTGGCTACACTAACCTTAAATTGAGTCAGTGTCTTCTTTGCTTTTAGTGACATTTGACTGTTGTAACGTTGCATTGACGATAAATTTGGCAATGCCCACTCTTAGATCATAGAGTCTGGTAAGCATATTTCAAATATTATTTTAGTGATTTTATTATATTTTAAAATTATTTGAATTGTACTAGGGCGGTTTGGTAAACGCTGAGGGCATGACTTTGTAATAAAAGCTGAGAGGTTTCCAAAAGCTTCCGAGTTATACGAGAAAACCTTAAAATATTTATTGAAATTTTAGTCTAGTATTTTAGAGTTTAGTTCAAATTTGCCCCACGCCTGATCAAAAAATATCATTCGCAAAACATCCTACTAATTATTTTAACTTAAAAAAAATTCTTAGAATCAATCTGGTGTCCTTTTAATTTTATAGAAGGAAATACATTTTTTGTTTTATTCTAAATAAGAGTAATATTTATCACATTTCTCGTTACTTAATATGATTTTTCTGGAATTTAGTTTTGTCTCTAGTTTACATTAGCCAATAACTACAAGTCTGAGCAAATTTTAAATAAAAAATTGGAAAACGTTCTGCTGAAAGCATTAATTAATGCTAATTTAGTTATATTTGTTTTCACCTTTTGCTATATAGTTTAATGAAACTTTTCTCAACTTTTTGAAAACTTGGAAAACACCGTCCTGTTTTGAATAGTGAATTACCTGACTTTGTCATTTGAATCTTTCAAAAAAATTTTCAACATCCAATAAGAAAATTTAAAGTAAAACTTCAAAATCCATAAAAAATTGACGTGAAAATATTTATAATGGGCAGCTCGGTGGCAAAGCAAAATCAAAATCCTCCAGACGGCGAAGATCCTCTGAGGGATTACGCAACGGAAATAAATTTTCCTTCTAATATATCGTAAGATTTAATCAATTTATATACATTTTTCATTATGCTGTGTTTTTTGATTGTTTTTAGCAATCCTTGCTCAAATATGTTACTGGCTTACATGGACGGGAATTATTATCCTTGTATTATTGTAAACAGAGCTCGAAATATTGCAAATGGATATTTAGTGTTTTTCCTTCATAGCCAGTGTGAAACTGAGATTCCATCCTGCAATGTAATAGGAAATTTTAAAGTATACAAAGTCTCATTTAATCTTCACACATCATTCACAGTGTGTCCTGTAGGCTCTTCAAGACTGCGTTGTTAGTTTCTCGCACGATGGAAAACTCTATTTAGGAAAAGTCTTCAAAACCAGCTCTAATGAAGAAACCAAAACGCCCAATTTCTTCATTAACTGCGAAGATCAATGCCGATGGATTTCATTGCCATTCATATTTCTGACTCCTGCACAAGCCAAACAATTGTCCTGTTGAATTTCGCTGAACTGATTCATAGATTTTACAAGAAAACCTTACACTGATGTCCCCGATGGTTTAATGGTTCAAACCGCTTAAACTTCAGGGTCAGCAGAGATTTAGTGTGTGGGAATATTTTGTCAAAAAAAGCATGAAATAAATTGTATCTTTTACTCTTCTTCTTCAAGTTCAGCCGTTTTATTAATTTAATTTCTTTTAAATTTAATTAAGTCGGTTAATATTTTAAATTGTGCTAGTTTTGATGTAACAAAATTTTAAACAGCGTGTTTTAACTTTGTGATGTGACAAAAAGTGTATGATTTACACAAAAATGAAGAAATACTGTTTAATTTTGAAGCGTTTTATATCTACTACTATAATATTTTAAGTAAGTTAAGTAAGTAGTTAATTATATTTATCCTGTGCTTAAAGTTTAAAGTTGATGATGATGAAAAGCCCTATAAATCGATGGTTAAAAGAGATCGCCTCGAACTCCTGCCACTTCAGAAATTCAATCTATGCATGTTATTTTTTAATAACAGTGGCAAAATCTGAGTCTAGGAATACTTCTTCAAGGACTTTATTAAATTTTTTAAAAGTTTGAAATAGTTCGTATTTAAAATCGTTTAATTTGGTTTCCTATCATATAAGTTTAACCTGTATTTTTAGTTATTTTATTGAAAGGTTTTTTAAGCTTTCAACTGTAATGCTTTTCCCAAAACAATATATTTTATTCAACAATTTTAAATTGAAAAAACCGACTCGAACATATTCAAAGTGTGTTCAAATTCAAACAAAACAGGCATTCTTACATTCTTTTAACTATCTTGAGTTTTTTTAATATTTTTTTTGCATTAGCCATTGAGCTCGCCTGAACAGTGCATATATTTTAGAGGTTTCCTATTACTCTTGACTATGAGGAAATATCTGCTTTTGAATGGACGCTATGCATTATTATTTCCCTTCATTCACTCTCTTATTAAGTCGCTCAATTATTTCACCCTCTTATTAAAACTGCGGTTACACTTCGAAAAAACCAATTGCAAGCAAAATTGAAAAAAAAACCACTATTTGTTTCTCTTGCGGTCGATTGAACAAATATTGGTTCCTCGGTACAGCCTGTGTAGATCTGCATCACTTGTGTATTTCACCATAATAATTATATATTTCAACAAATATACATTACACACTTCTTCCGTTCCAGACAGGTAAAGCTAAAAAAGACCAATTATTTACCAAAGATAAACGTTTGCAATGTTTTGAATGTGTCCGGATGATTTCGATAAGTTGCAGGTGATTTTGGTTCCATTGACGATTTGAAATGTGTTCAAATGAACCAAAACCCGCCTCTAGTGGGAGAACCATACGCAAGGTTACATGGAAATAAGTACGTTATATAAATTGGCCCGGTGGTAACTCAGTTTTTAGTCTCAAGAGTTATTCGTGCAGAAAAAATGAACTCTTATGTAAGTACAAAAAATTGTTTTAGGGTTTAAAAATTATTTAATTCAATTAATTGATTAAATTCAGCTAGATCCAGAAAATTTCCTTTACAGCCTAAATTTTTATTTCTCGTTTAGAATTATCTCCTTTTAATTTTTTCTTATTTATTATAGCAATAATTGTCAACATTGCGCTATATAATCATGTATTGTATAACAGACATTCACAGAGTTTTATCATTAAATAATCGGCAATGAATAAAACATAATACACAAAATGTATGAAATTCAAAATAAATGAGCCGCTAATTTAAAATAGTAGTAAAATTGAATAAAGTTATATTTAAGAAGTCTAAGGGTTTTAACTGGTATTTAATAGCAAACTGGGCTGGCTTAACTATGAATCTGAAAAATATACATTTAAATTATTAATTATAATTTTGTTTCATATGTGAAACTTTTCCTATCGCTCGATAGCCAAAAATTTCAACGAAAACATCGGCATTAAAATGAGTTCAATGAAGTTTTGATAATTTAGCTGACCTTAGAATAGTTTTCCGCTCTAAAAATTAAAACATAAACAAGTTGACATTATCGCAAGAATACATTCTTTTACTCATTTACCCGAGTTGTTTCATAGTATTGTGTTGTTTTTGATGGGACAAAAGTCGCAAATAATGGCAAGTACAATGTAAATTTTATTTACATTTATTCATTTACAGTTGATTTTTTTTAATTTGCTTTTATTTTGCCGCAATAGAAAAAATAAAATGATGAAAACCTCAGCCAGAATTAATTTTAAAAAGTTTGCTCTGATTTGTTTTATTCAGATTTTCTTTGTCTATTCATCACAATCCACAAAATTAAGGTTTTACCTGGTTGTGAATGCTTCTAATTTATATTTATAGAAAAATGAGTAAAATTTCCGTTTGCATGGTGTGAAACTGCCCATTAAAAATGCAAACAAGACAATAAATAAAAAAGGAAATAATTAAGTAAAGTCAAACAAAAATTAATTTGGGTGAGTTTTGTCTTGATTACTTGCACTATTTCAGTGACGTAAATGATCAATTTACGGTTTTCTGTTAAAAAGGCGTCCCAAAACACGACGTTAATATATCCACAATCCGCATAAATATTCAGGGCAGTTAACAACAACAAACAACCAAAAAGTAGCATTTAAGAATTATTCTCGACTATTTTTCGTATTCATACAGCAACTCAAAAACACTGTCTGTTGTTGTGAAATTTGCATAAATTTGTTGTGAATAAAACCGCACGCAATGTCTGCATAACAAGAGACGTTTAAAAATCCAAACTTAAAACTTGATAAAGTCGGAAAAAAATGCGTATGTAATATGTTTGTATAGCTACAAGCCATTCACATCATTTCCGGGGTTTGTAAATATTCAGCAGGGCGGAAAATTTCCTTAAGAAGGTTTTTGCTAATGGAACTACGAACTCTTGCATTGAAAATCGAAAGGTCAAAACTGCCAACACAGGAAATACTCCATTACAGCTAATTAACAATAAAACGGTTTACCTGCAGGCTTCCACTGCAACGTTCCAGTTTCCCTTTCACAATGTTTTGTCTAATTTTTTGCAGATTTTTGCTATTTTCGCCCTTTTCATCGCATCAGCTTATGCGGGTGGCTACGGGCTTTTGGGGGGCGGCACCAACAGCTATGATTATGGCGGTTCGTATGGAACCGCCTCTGCTGGTTATGGGGGCGGCAGCTACTATACCAGACCATATTATTCAGGAGGCGGATATCCTAGGTATGTTATAAGTTTTTAGGGTTATACAGGGGGCGACTGTACAAAATTCTACTACAGATTCCTGGGGTGAAAACACGTTGATTTAACCGAATTTGTCTAATTCAAAAGTGGGCGGTTTTTTGGAATACAGGGCGTCAAAGCCTAAGAAAAAAAATTTTTTTTGCTTTTTTTCACATTTTACAGGAAATTAAAAAGCGCCACAAATTTAACGCATGGCTTAAATATGCCCTAGCTTTTGACAAATTTATCTCAATTAATCTGAACAAAAAATTATAAGATTAGAGCTGTTAATTTCTGTTAATTTTGTTACATGCGTAATTCTATAAAGAAACAAACAAAATATTGCTCGCAAACCCAATTTGCGTCGCACATTGGTCGCACAGCCTTTTTTTCAGAGATTTTCCTCGCAACTAAAAATAAGTTTTAGTAAATTTGGAGCAGAAAATATCTGCGGGCTAAAAAATGAAATGGGCTCAGAATAATCAGACGATTAAAAATCCAAATTACTCGGAAGACATTAGCCTGTAACATCGTATACTTTTTGCCTCTAAGTGTTAACCCACATTGGCACCAAGAAAACATGGCATGAGTATTTTATCATTAATTATCATTATTTTATCAGAATATGTTTATTTCATTTATTTTGCGTATCTTTTAATATCTTTAATTTATAATTCAATAAAATATTCTTGAAATGGTCTTACAGTCATTGAATTTGCGCCGCAGTGTATTTTGTTAACAAATTTGGGTGGAGAGATTTAGAGAGAAGAAAATTGTTTTTGAGGCATTTTTCCGTTTTAAAATAAGCTACATTGTATGGAAGATGGCAACTGCTTGAAAGTAGACTAAAAATAAATTTAAAATTAAATCTTCTACTACTCTGATACTACTTTTTCATCAAAAATACTGGGTRAATTTTGAGTGAGTTCTTTTCAAAGAAAAACCAGATTGCAGGATTGATTTTGTTGTCTTTCATAYCTTAGTTGTTTAGAACCCTGTTCTCTTTTCTCTGCACAYATTTGCCCTACRTTTATTTTGCTCAATGTATAATACATTGATATGTATTATACAATACAACAAATTATATATATTTRYTATACAAAACAYRATACATATGTMTTATACAATTATATATGTATTATACAACAATTAATAATACATAATATATAATACTATCGTTGTATTGTACACCACATTCAATATCAATTTTCTTCTCTCTAAATCTCTCCACGCAAATTTGTTAACAAAATACACTGCGGCACATATGTATTATACAATTGTATAATACATTRTGTATTATACAATTGTATAATACATTATGTATTATACARTTGTATAATATATTATGTATTATACAATGTATAATACAATCGTTGTTTTCAGCGGTCTTCGGCAGGCCGCCGAGTCAAATTTTTGYTCTTTCGGCCAATTTTCCTTCATTAATTCWTCTATTTAATTACTTATTCTGTTCAGTTTCAATATGACCCTTCATGATGTCCTGCATATACTTCTTGAATGCTTGATSAACGTTTTTTGATCACRATATCATTCTTCCATTTAAAGTCCTGGAAGCAACTTTGAGATTGAACAAGCTCAGCTTACTAGGGCTTGTTCTAACTCCAGTTTTTCAGTTTCGGTTTCTCCTTCAGGTGTAAATCTGCACAATATACATAAGCAAAACCTCTAACTTCTGCTAGATGACTGGCAATAGAGAACTTTTTCTCTCTAAAAAATGTATCACTTTTTCTGCCACTTTTGCTCTCAGTGTCTTACATTTTTTATGATATGGGTTGGTAGTTCAATAGGAACTGGTGGTTACTACTCGTCAGGTAGCGGCTACTACCCAAGTGGGGGCGGATATGGGGGATCTGGATATGCCGGATCGTCTGGATATGGCGGATCGTCTGGATATGGAGGATCTGGAATTTAYGGAAGCTCTGGAGGYTATGGAGGATATGGCGGTTACAACAAAGGATACGGCAGCAGCAATGGAGGATACAGGCCTGGGTACTCTGGATATTCTGGATACGATGAATATGGYCCAGGTAAGCTTCAGTTTTYTTAATAAAAGTGGACKTTKTGTCYAAAAACTCTTGATTGTGTGCCTCTCAAAGTCGAAAGCGAATAACACCTACTTATGTAATAACATACTAGTAATCAGTTGGTGAGAAAAGTAGTTCCCAAAACAATACAGATCGGCTATTGATCTCGGATTCGCCGACCTTGTTAGTCACGAATCATTGCAATCTCTTTGTGTGACGATTAATTGTAGAAGGTTTTTGGGTGCCAACAATGTCGAGGCTGATCGACAATGGTCAATTCATTAGAGGTCCAAGCTCAAAATTTCACACGTTTCGTGCAGTTAGTGCTAGAATTGAATGAGCACAAGTATCTGCTTTAATTTCAGCCGCATCTATCCGGTCGCAAAATGCCGTAGTTGAAATTGGAAATAAAAAGTCTGAGTCTTTCAGTACTTCAACCTCTAGATACGATGCTTACGAATTTAGTACTGCAGGTAATGGTTACTGATGGAAATCGTGAATGCTGGGGTAATCATGGAAAAATAAGTCAAAAGCATCCATTATGGGCCATATTAGGAAAAAATAGAACACATTTTTGCTGATAAACAGCCGAACATTTTTTATCAAATCTACATGAGTGCATCGACA